ATGTATATAGGACCCGATGTTATAAACGTTTCCGAATTGCAGGTCAAATACCCGCAACTAGCCCCGTTAAAGACGACTGCGTATAATTACAAAGAGATTGAGATAGTTATAGGACAGGACTTCTATCATGCGATAAGACCCCTCGAACATGTCTTCGGAGATGAACTTGACTCACCGTGCGCCGTCCGACTTCCGATAGGTTGGGTCATTAGTGGTCCGTCTCCTGATCGTTCGTCCTTAAATTCTTCTTCCTTTAACTGCGTTACGGACGATACTTCTCTGACCGACCAAATCAAAACTTGGTATGAGTTAGAGTCGTATGGTGCGTTCAAGCAAGTAGATGCCCGTTCCGCAGCAGACAAGCGTGCTTTGTCGATCCTAAAAACTGAAACCGTTCACGATGGTGAGCGTTACACTGTACCGATGCTGTGGAGTGATAATGATGTTAGCTTGCCTAACAATTATTATTCTTCATTAGCCCAATTAAAGTCGCTAGAGAAAAGATTAGATAAAGATCCGTTACTTCGCGAGAAGTATACCGAAATAATCAGAGAAGATATAAGTAAAGGATATGTCATAACCGTCAACCCGCACGATCCCAGCTCACGAGCCGAACGTGAGTGGTATCTTCCACACCATCCGGTTTTGAACCCGAACAAACCCGGCAAGGTGCGCCGTGTGCTCAATGGAGCATCCAAATTTCATGGCACTTCCTTAAATAGATCTCTCTTGGTTGGCCCGGATCTCCTTCAAAATCTTATTTTTGTACTGTTGAGGTTCCGTCAACACAATTACGCCGTCTCAGCGGACATAGAAGGTATGTTCTTACAAGTTGGAGTGCTTGCGCGAGATCAACCGTCTCTCCGTTTTTTGTGGCGGGAGGACCCCACTTCAAGTGTGGTGGTTCACCAATACACCCGTCATATTTTTGGCGCTCGTGATTCGCCAACTTGTGCGAATTTCGCGCTACAAAAAACTGCTTCTGATAATCAAGCTGAATACCCCGAAGCCGCTTCAGCCGTTGTCCAGAAGTTTTACATGGACGACTATCTTGACTCGTTCGAAAATACCGCTGACGCTCTTAGCCTAAGTAAAGACTTAGTCGCAATGCTCAAATTAGGTGGGTTTAACCTGACCAAGTTTGTTAGCAATGTACCCGAAGTTACAACCGCTCTTAATCCGGACAACCGTGAGTCCAACCAGTCAGTTAAGGATATTTGTAAGAGTCCAGACCAATCGTCGCATGTTCTTGGTCTCAGGTGGGATCATGTAAAATATACCCTAGTAGTAAGTAGAGGTGTTGATCGACCACTAGATAAAGCAATTACTCAACGCACCGTGTTGAGTTTTGTTTCCTCAGTTTTTGATCCAATAGGACTGGTAGCTCCATATACTGTGAAAGCGCGCCTTTTACTAAAAGACATATGGAGAATCAGTGGTCAAAAGTGAGATGATGATCTCCCAGAGGAAATTAAACAACAATTTCTAGATTGGCACTCAGGGCTTCCAGTATTAGGTACTCTGACGATACCTCGTAGCTACTTTACCGAACCGTTCGACCGCTGTGAACTTCACACGTTCGGTGATAGTTCGCAGGACGTTTTTTGCGCCGTATCGTTTCTCCGAGCCCGACTTGCTAAATCGCAAAAGACCGAGTTAGCTTTTGTATTTGGGAAAGCCCGTGTAGCGCCTATGAAGATGCTCTCCATTCCCAAGTTTGAGCTTCAGGCTGCTCTGCTTGCGACTCGACTCAAAGAAGAGATTTTGAAAGCGCTTACTTTCAAAGTAAGCAATGTATTCTTGTGGACTGATTCTACCACCGTTCTCCAGTGGCTTAAATCGTGCAACAAACTTCCTGTGTTTGTTGGAAACCGCACTGGTGAAATCTTGGAGTCCACCACCATTGATCAATGGAATCATGTACTCAGTGGTGATAACCCAGCTGATACCGGCACACGAGGGATTTCTTCGGAAGCCCTCAAGGATAGCAGCTGGGTTAGAGGCCCTAGTATATTGAGGACATGTGATTGGCCATTCAAGCCGAACACTGATGTCATCAAAAAGATCCAATTAACAGGCCCACTCTGTGACATTGATACATGCCTTGAGACTGCATCTACGTTTGTTGTTGATGCTTCATCTGAGAAAGCGCCGTCGATCCGTCTGTTTAAAAATTGGGATAAGTTCAGCTCAATTGTAAAGTACAAACGTGTTTTAGCGTTCATGCTTCGTGTGCTACCATCGCATAAACACTTCCGTACAGAAACGCTTGAAATAACCGACCCGTCCGAGTTAGATATTGCCGAGCAGAAGCTCATTTATCTCGCTCAGTCCGAATCATTTCCTGCCGAAGTGAAAATACTTCAGTCCGATAAACTGATAACAAAGAAAAGTCGGATTGCTAAATATTCTCCGTTCATCGGCCCAGCTGGCATCCTGCGTTCAACTGGACGTATCAGCCGTCTTGTTGATACCGACTTTGATAGCAAACATCCAATAATACTGGATGGTCGACACCGAGTTGCTCATATGTTGATTAGGCATATGCACTTTCAACATGCACATCAGGGGTTGGATTACATGCGTGCTGTAGTTCAGTTGAAATACATTGTTCTGAAGTTGCGCTGGTTACTTGGGAACATCGAAAATACTTGCATAACATGCCGTAAGCGCAAAGCAAAAACAGTTGTGCCCATTATGTCTGACCTACCGATTGAAAGACTGGGTTACAAGCAGCCTCCCTTCTCCAACACAGGTGTTGATTACTTTGGCCCGTTTCAAGTGCCAATACGCCGAAGTACCGAAAAGAGATGGGGTTTCCTATTTACCTGCCTCACGACTCGAGCAGTTCACATCGAGTTGGTTCCATCTCTCGATACTAGTTCCTGCGTCATGGGCGTAAAGCGATTTATTGCAAGGCGAGGTACCCCAAAACCATTCTTTCTGACAATGGCACGAATTTTGTTGGTGCTCAAAAGGAGCTCCTATCCTGTGTCCAAAATTGGAACAAAGTCGCCCCGGCCGTTTTCGTCCACAAAGGCATTAAGTGGAAGTTTAACCCGCCCAGTGCCCCTCATCACGGTGGCGCCTGGGAGCGGCTAGTGAGAAGTGTTAAGCGAGTGTTGTACGACATATTAGGCAGCAGGAGATTAACTGAGGAAGTTCTAGGAACAACGCTCTGCCTAGTTGAACAATTACTTAACGCAAGACCGATCACTCCGGTCAGTTCCGATCCGCACGACCTAAAGGCACTCACCCCGAATCACTTCATTCTCGGTCACAGCGCAGCTAGCTTCCCGTCGTTAAGTTTCGAAGATAACTTTGATTATAAAAAGCGTTACGCCAGAGCACAATCGTACGCTAACGCAGTTTGGTCACGCTGGCTGCGTGAATATGTACCATCTCTCAACAAGAGAGCAAAGTGGCATAATGATTCGGATGTCACACTGAAAACCGGCGACTTGGTTTGGGTAGTCGAACCCGACAGCCCACGTGGGCATTACCCACTCGCCCGTATTGCTAAACTACACTACGGAAAAGACGGATGCGCCCGATCTGCCGATATCAAAACTGTTACGAGCGAGCTGACACGACCGACCGTAAAACTCGCACCTGTTCTTCCGTCTTTAGGGGCGGAGGATGTTGCAGCGCAAATATAAAACAATAGTACAAATGCATAAAAACGTAAATGTGCGAGAGTATAAATGCATATAAAAGTAAATGCATACAGGGACAGTAGCCAAGCGTATACATGGTGCGTCCCGGCGGGTTCGGCGCCGGTTCGAATCCCGACTAGGTCATTTCCTTTCTAGAACTCGAATCTGCACCGAACTTGATGGGATGCTCCGTAACCAGGTTCGATCCCCCCAAAACCGATTTTAACCGTCTTTTCGCTCTAATTTGGTTCAGCCTTGATTAAGGCTGACCTTTAAAAAGAGCAATTTGTCTCAAGGACAAATACTGGCCATTTTTGCAGCTTGCTTTGATTTATGCAGTTGTTTGTGGCCGATCTTACCGATGATGAAATACGTTTTGAAAACTGTAAAATTATGGATTTCCAGTGTTAGTTTTGCCGAGAAAACGCTCTGTAATTCAACTGTTTAAAAGTCAATATTTTGTGGAGATTTACGCGCACAATCTTATTTTTTGTCTGCAACTTTGTTATGATACCTTTATGTTGTATCGCAAGTAGATTGAAACTCTGCTCTCCTTTTTTGAGAAACTGTTTTTCTTGCTCAGCAAAAGTCAATTTTGCAGTTGATGTAATTCTTAGTTAGGGAATTAATCCCTCAGGGCTTAAGACGCTCTAGTACTATTTAAAGGCATCGGTTTTGACTGACCGACCCTAAACTTTCTGTAAAAGGGTCTTTAGCGCCACTATGTATTAAATTTGAGACAGGAGCGCGCGCCAAAAATACACAATTTTTTGGTAAAAATTGTCCAAAAAGTGCTTAAAAACACTTTTTCGGACTCTTTTTTCAAAATTTCAAAAATTTGGCCAAAAAAGGGTCTTTTAATTGATTTGAAAGAGTCTGGAAAATCAATTTGGCTGGCCTGAAAATCCCTTACCTCTCGAGAAAATTCAAGTTCCTCCCGTGCATTCGCACATTGGATGTAAAATTAGATGTAAATTCTTGATTTATCAGACATATTTGGCTTTTGGGTCTTGCATTTTTTAAAATTTTTGTACTGAGAACAATAGTACATAATGAAACACCAAGATCTTCAGTTTTGAAAAAAGTAGGTTTGGGTTCTCAAACTGAAAAGACTTGCAATACAGTTGTTTCTGAACTAAGGGCGACTATTAAATATATTTTTTCTAAACTTAATTGCCAATAAATGCATTTTAAAGAAAGCGTTTCTTCTTTTATTGACCCTGCTGCTATTTGCTTTCATCGCCCAATTTTCAGCAAAAATCTAGCATACAAATCGACCGCCATGTGAATAAAATGTTCGACCATTTCATCAATTGCTGACGAAAACAAACATTGCTGTTTCAGCCAGAGAAACTTTTCGAACCTTGCAGCACGCATTTATAATCATACGGCGAGAACTGTAGTCTAAGGCAAGACCAACTGCAAACTTAACGTCATGTTTGGTTCTCGGAGGAGTAAAAAGACGAGCATCGCGTACTCGGAAACTAGTCAGAGCGACAGTACAACTTCTCCCAGCTCCCCCAATGGAATAATGGACAGAGGCGGAATCAATTTCCCCCAAAGCCCTTCAGGGTTGATGACGTCATCACAGCGACGGCTTTCCGCCGGGCTGGTGACTTCACAGCGACGGCTTTCCGCCTCCTCGTCTTCCCAGTACACTCAAAGTATTCTTGCCGGTTTCTTTTCCCTGGGAAGCAATAACGTAAGTGAAGTATTCCTTTCTTCAACATCGTGATTTGTTTTTGTTTTTGCTCCGACAATTCCACGAAGTGAAGTTAATAATCTGAGACGTAGAGTGTGTTTTTGCGGTCAATTTTGACCAGCTCTATGAAAGCCAATAGGGGGGGTGGGGGTGGCTTTCTTAGAGTTTAAGTGTGTTATCACATTAAAGCTTCATTGGTTGTGATTTCAGTTTTCTTATATCTCAATATCTCAAAACTTGTCTCATTAGCCAATAAACTGGTCCGAAATTTGATATTCAGGCAAATTTAGAGCAATTCAGATAACCGGCTCTAATTTTGATAACAAATCCTATGGGGGGCTTTAAAAAAATTTTTCGGAAAATTTGTCGACCGTTTTTTTAGGTCGACCAAATTGATTTTCCGAGCTCTCCAAAAGCACTTAAAAGACCCTTTTTTGAGCAAATTTTGTGAACCGCAGGCAAAATTTTGAAGAAAAAAACAGGCCAAAAACGGCTTTTTTAGGCATTTTTGAAAAAATTTCAACAAAAAATCGCGTTTTTCGGCGCGCGCTCTCCCCTCAAAATTAGTATATATTGGCGCCTAAGATGTCTTTCGAAATATTTTAGGGTCCGTCATCAACAATGGATATCTCAAAACAGTACAAAGTGGGGACCCTTTGGGTCGGCAGGGGGTCGAATCCCTGGGGGCGGGGGTGGGGAAACGTTCGTTTTTCCTCCATAAAACCCCCCCTGAAACCAACTCTCTGTTGCCATGCTCTTAACATATTGACGAGACTGCTGTAGTAAGCATATTACGAGTTGGCTTTTGTTGCGAGTTGTCGCATTACATTATTTCAGGACGATAAGGGCTCCTCTTACTGTGGATCTCTGCACTTCAGTTTGCGATATGACTTCCCCCGCCAGATCCTGGCCATCACCATCATAGAAGCCAAGGATCTCCTTGCCATGGACAGGGGGTATGCTATTCATTCCCCCTTCCGGATCAAAGTAATAGACCAAGTTGCAGATAGGACAAATGTTTTTAAGAGCCAAAGCAAAATAGATAGTAAAAATGTTCAAGTGAAAAAATTTGAATGCATAGAATTGCACTTGTTGAAAGTTGAATGGTCGATTTTAAAACTTCTTGTGTTCCTTCAGATTGGTATTTTTCTCAAAAGTTTATTAATTTTTGACCCTTATCGCATTTGTTGTTTTTTCAGGGGCACGAGTGACCCTTACGTGAAGATGAATCTTCTGCCAGATAAGAAAAAGAAGTTGGAGACCAAAGTCGTCTTCAAGAAACTCAACCCCACCTGGAACGAGACTCTCTTCTTCAATGGTACGAATAACGTCGCTAGATCCATTAGTTAGAGGGGGTAGGGGAGGGAAGCGGGAGGGAAGAAGGGGGTGCTTACAAGATCTGGTCTGAGATGTTCAGTTACTTCATCCTAAAAATTGTGAAATTATTCATTAAGGCTTTTTTGCTATTTTTTGATAATTAGCGAATTGGTTTTTTTTATTACTTCTAAAGGAGCTCCAGTGTTATATTAGATATAGTTAGCTTAACAATTTTTGGCAAAAAATTTTGTTGAAAGTTTTTTTCTAGCCAAACGTATTCGAAATAAGCGAACCACTGGTTTTTAAAATAAAATTTGTTGCAGTTGTATGGGCTGTATGATATTTTAACGCATTACCTAGTAGAGAACCATTTAGTTTTGGCTCTTTTTCCTCCTCTTTCTCCCCCACCTCATACAAGCATTCCTTATTTTGGTAAAAAGAGAGGTTTTTCAAGGTAAAGTATGAAGACTTGATATGTTTGTCTTGGCACAATTACTCTGCGTGCCAAATTTTGTAACAATTGGACAATGTGAACAGTAAGTTTGCTAGTAAAATTGTTCAGGTCGTGGTGAGCGAGGGGGGGGGGCAGGAAAAACAGCCTTAGTTATTTTAGGCTACCCGCATGACAAGCTGCAGAAGCGTGTATTACACATGGTGGTGTTAGACTATGACAAATTCAGCAGGGACGACCCAATCGGGGAGATCAACATCCCCCTCTGCGAAGTGGACTTCGCCCACCCTCTGCAGATGTGGCGAGAATTGAACCCCATATCTAAGGTGAAACACAATTTTCTCATCGATTATTCATCATCATCATCATCATCATCCTTTTTTATTTGGAAACTCCTTTTTCTCAGAGATGTTAGTTGATATATTTTCGAGTTTATTTTTTGAGCAAATTAATGGGGGGCCCTTTTACCGTCCCCCGGCGAGATATAAAGATATATCGATGGTGTAAATGTAACCATTTATTTTTTTGGGCTCTTTTCTAGTTTCTCATCCCCTCATAAAATTACTAAGTAAAGCTGTTCGAAAAGTTGTTCACCCGGTATTTTGCATGTAATTTTGTTGTTCGTTTTTGATGTTATTTTTGTTGAAAAGTGTGTTCACCTGTTCACGCTGACACGTTTTATTGCAGCTGAAACATGAAAAATCATTTAAATATTTTTTCATAAAAAAATTTTCGGAAAAAATCAAAGGGGGGATTGGAAAAGAGCCATTTTTTGCAAAGTCGAACATGAAGTAAAAATGTGTTTTTCGATAATAAAATAACGACAAGGCAATTTAAAATTATAGAAGTTCGCTGTTTGGAGAGTCGGTTAATGATTTAAAAATCAACAATTTTCACCAAGAGTAGCATTTATGCACAATATGGCTCCTTTTCATTCCCCCACCTCATACGAGCATCAATTTTATAGTGTAACGAGTGGTTTTACCAGGTTAATTATGAAGACCAAATATGTTTGCCATGGCCTAATTAGTCATACAATGCTAGTCATGGAAAAATGCTAGTCATAAAATTTTCATACAATTTCAAAACTGAAATTGCCCCAAGTTTTTTTTGTTTTTTTTTACAACCGCAAATCGAAATTTGTACTCAAGCAAACATTTTCCAAGAAAAAGTTTTTGCATGCAAATTTTAATTTTTTGTCTGCATAACGTAGTGCTGGATACGCAAAAATCAGATTTTTTTCCTCCGTTTCTCTGGATAACTTTTTCAAACAGACTAAAAACTCCGGCTCTTTTCCAGTTCCCCCTTTTCAAAATACCGAGTTTTATGTTTGTTTTACGTGTTATTACGGCTAAATGCGTGATGTTACGTTGTAAAGTATGAAGAACAAATCTGTTCACAGTTGTCGATTTGATCACCACGCCAAATTTCATTGCATTATGACAAGGTTATATAAGCTTTTCAAAATTGAATTTGAAAGGGGGGAACTGGAAAAGAGCCAAAACTTCTATTTCCTTTGTATGGCAAGTTTATATATGCCTTGATCAATGTCTGATAATTTGAAAATTCTAATTTCAAAAATATTCTTTTTTGAAAATTTTTGCCAAAATTTAAAAGTTTGATGTTTTCACTATATAATTTGTGAAAAAAAAACTATTAGACAATTTATGTCGTTTCCATTGGAAAAGCCAGATCATCAACCATTTGGTGACTCTAATGTTGATCAAACCATGGGTTTAGTTTAGTTACTTGTATTCGGTCACAACCACATCCCTAAGATTTTGAGAAATAACTTTTAATAAAATCAACTTTTTGGTTTCTGAAAAAATGCTTATCTTACAATTTCCATACATGAAAAAATGCTTATCTTAGAGTTTTCTTATCATTTTCTGTATCTATGGAATAGTACGAAATTGTAAGATAAGCATTTTTTCATGTATCAAAATTGTAGGACAAGCATTTTTGGTCAACCCGGGTATGAAGACCAAATATGTTTATCATGGCCTAATTAGTCCATCGAACAAATTAGTCCATTAATTATGAAGACCAAATATTCATGACCTAATTAATTCATAACATTCAAACAATGTGAACAAAAGTTTACTCATAAAATTTTTTAAGTGGGGGAAGGAAAAAAGAGCCCACAATGTTTTCAACTGCAATCTTTCTACTCTTTGTGAGCCCTTATCATTCTGACTTCAGTATGAAAGGTAGAGATTGCTGCGTTTTGTAGATAGCAATTTTAAGCCCGTTACCTAATTCCATAAACCAACTTAACCAGTTTATGTGACCCAATACCTAGTCTAGTAAAACAATGTAATCAGATTAAGTTGAAGTCAAAATAATTGGAATATGTCGAAGTGCTTGGTAATTCAGTTTCACCTCAGCGATGTTAAGCATCGCGCTCAGCAAATAGTTTGTAGAAATTATGTACCGGTTATAGCAAAAAAAGATGATTGGAGTAAGATATTGCACAGTCAAAAACGATTACGTGTTCAAGGAAAACGTGCTAATTTTTTTAGAGTAACATATATTTTATTTTCCTTGTTTCAGAAACTTTCAGTACCGTTCATCATGTATAGAAAAATCTTAAAAAGTCATTCAGAAAAAGTTTAGGTGGTCAAATCTAAGCATATCAGGGAAAAATCTACAAAATATATGAAGAAGTCAAGTAATTCCGTTTTTTCACTTTTTTTTCGCTCTTTGACAAACGTTTGGTGAAGTCAAAAACCAAATAGCCCAAAGCACTCCTCGTAATTATATACAAAAACATGTTAATTTTCACGACCAAGCATATATTGTTCCGAATTTCGATACGAAAGTAACGGAATATTTGTGCTCAGGGTGGGTTTTTTTTGACGGAATTTTTTCTAATATCATTTGGAAGGTTTTATTTTCCTGAGCTTAAATTTGAAAAGATAAGGGACGATCAACGCGCGATTTATTTGGGACAATCAACGCGAAATCAACGCGCCAATTTGGGACAATCAACGCGCGATATATTTCGCGCTATTAACGCGTAAGCGGAGATTTAATCCGCCTTAGAAATTGTTCCAAATTGGTTGAAAGAGGCTTATTTGCCATAATGATTTGTTACATTGAGCAAAATCTATTCTTTTAGACTTTATATGGCGTGTGGGTGATGATTTCATAAAAAAGTTCAATTTAAAAAAAAAAATTTTAAATTTTATTTTATTACATTTAATTTTTTTATGTTACTACTGCTTCATAAAACTTAAAAGGCAGTCGGAAAATTCAGGGCTTGGCCCTGATACGAGCAGTCTTGTTATCTTTGTATAAATTTTTTGGTTTTTCCAGAAAAAAAATAGACTAGCAAGTCCATTTAGCAGATGAGTTTCAACGTCATTTTTATTAAGTCGCATTGAGTCGCTTTGAAAGTTTGCATAATGTGTTTGATAACTTGTGCCGGTTGACAAAAAAGACTTTTTTGCGAGCCATTCAATTAATTAGTTTTAAAAAATCCCAACTGAATTTTATTAATTGAAATAATTTGCATTATAAAACTTCGATTTGAACTATATTTGTAGCTTTGCTCAATTTTGCAGAAAAATCATTCAAAAGTTGTTCGAAAAATAAAAATTGAAAAACATCATTTTAGTTTTGATAGCTTTGTCAATTATTCGAATCGAGTCTAAGGAAAGACTGTTCAACATAATTTCAAACTTATGGGATAGCTTCGCAAAAAACTTAGAAATTAAAACAATTAAGTTGCAATAAATCCTAAACAACTTCACGACTTCAAAAATTCTACAAACAAAATAATAGTGCAATAGAAATATTATGCAAATTGGAAAGTGGAGGCGAAGCAAAAAGCAGAATGGTCTAAGAGCAGAATGGGTCCAAGAGCAGAAAAACGGAAAAAAATTAACTTTTATTGATTAATACGGGCTAATTGATAAAAAAATTTATTATAATTGTCAATAATTTCAAGAAAATGAAAAAGTAGGCATGAATTGAAAAATTTTATCAAGTTTTTCAAACTGAATTTTAAAAAAATTGCGATTAAATTATTCAAATTATGCATAAACTATTGCTTCTTTAGTAATATTGACAATTCTTATATTTAATTTACCCATAAGCTTATAAAATTTGATATTTTTCTGTTTTTCTGCTCTTGGACCCATTCTGCTCTTAGACCATTCTGCTTATTGACTGGCCACTATGGAAAGTGTTTTAGATAGCTTGAACTGCCTCCTCGCAACTTCTTGATGTGTTTATTCGCAAGGCTAGCGATGAAACTGAAACAAATCAAACCTGATGCTTAGCTCGAGTTGTTTTGCTAAAAATGAATTTTTTTATGCGCATTTATGAAGTTCTTTTAGGAGGCTAATTGATCAAAAAAAATTTAAACACATCAAATTGCTTTGATTGCTTAAACGCTGCGCAAAAAAAAAGATTTTCTACGAGGTATTCATTCTATGAAACTTCTAAGCACTTCACCCTATTTTTTGAGCCTTTTGAACGCTTCGCAAACGTTTTGAAATGAATCAGCAGATTTTCAAGCAATGAATCTTGGAATTAGTTCAAATTGCCTTGAATTTTTTGAAATGCTGCGCAAAAACAAAAGTTTATGGACACGGTTTCTACGTAAGAAAATCCGACGCCGAAAGCCGAAATGAGCGTTTTTGAGTTAACCAATTTCGCTCAGATTCATTGACCGCAATTGGCGACAACTTGATATTAACTACAAAAAATTTTTTTTTCATTTAAATAACGCTTTTTAACCCATGCTTTTTCAAAGATTTCAAAATTCTTGATCCCTGCTATGTGTCAATAAGTTGAGGAAAAGTCTGCTCTATGAACCGAGGCAAAAATCCGTACTTTCTACGCATATTATGTTGATATCAAACCCTAAATTGGTTGAAACAAAAATCAATCGTTTTTTGCCGAAGTTTTCTGCACCATAAACTAACTTTTGAAAATCTTGCCGAAAATGATGTTTTAGGAACACAATCGATGTTTCAGCGAAGTACACGTAGTAGTTGCAGAAGCAAAAAATTTCAATTAGATTTAAATTATAATTTATCTCAAAAATTGGTAAAAGCATCAAATTTATACACTAAAGCTGTTTTTTTTTCTGGAATAAATTAACAGTTTTGATGAATTGTTTAAAAGTCAATTAAAGCACTCAGTGTCTTGAGATTTCTGGATTTCCATTAACGGTTTTGTTTGGACCACCTCCCTAGGTGTAGGAAATAGCTAAATTAAATGGCGTAGGCTAGGATATTTTCAAACCCATGCAATTTCATCAATCAACGCTCTTTTGTCATTGACTTAGGTATCATTTACACCTATTCAATTTTAT